ATAGTGATTATTGGTGAGTGATCTGAAAGTGATCTAGGTTGTATCTCAACCGATTTAAGTAGTGGCATTACATCAAGCGAACATAAAACTAAATCTATCCTAGATGATGTGTTGTGTGTCTTCCTCTGGGTGCATCAACCGCCACAAGTCCCATAACCCAATTTCTTCACAAAAATTATAAAAAGAAGTATTTTTAGTAGAATCTAGGTGTTTATTTACTTGGAATTTATCTAGTGCCATATTCATATAATTATTAAAATCCCCCATCACAAGAATATAAATAGGTAACTTATCTTTAATAAATAATAACAGCTTCCGGAGGACCTCGTTAGAGTAGGGAGGAGGGATATATATGTTTACCAGCACACATTCTATATCATATATCATATATTTTCCAATGCAAAAATACGTATCTATCCTCTTTATCACACACTGCTTGTATACATGAGAAAGCTATACCTTTACAGACTAGTATTGATACCCCTCTAGAGTATGCAGAGTAACATGCATGAGCTGTATACTGCAGAAATCTGTGTTCCAACCATCCAACACTATCTCTCATCTCATCCTGAAGACAAATAATTGACGGCTTATGAGACATAATGCTGGATAATACCGCTGGACATTCCAATATATAATGTATAAGACACATTTTGCATAACCTGTCAGTCGCTAGATACAGTGTGCATGCTTTATCCAGCTTTTGACAGGGTGTGTTAGTAGTGTAGCAAGGAAGACGGGGTCTCACGTGGGCTGTAAAGGATCTCTTGTGACCCTGCATAGCCCACCCGAGACCCTGCATAGCCCTCCACAGACTCTGGACTTAGTGACGCACTGGGCTCAGCACTTAGTGACGCACTGGGCTCAGCACTTAGCGACACACTGGGCTCTGGAATTAGCAAAACAGTGGACTTGGAAGTCAACACAGAACACTCAGGGAACACTTAGAATACAAGCCCTCCCCAGGCCCAGCTACCTGCTTGCCGCTCTGTCTCCAAAGTAGGTGCTGACTTCGCCTCCAGCAGAGCCCACACTGGAAGAAAATAGGACAGCAGCGACTGCGAATGTAGAAGTGCCGATCGCTGTACCAACTGACAGCCCTGGAGCCTCCTGTCTTGGCTTCCTGCTCCCCGACCCAGTTCGCCCATTAGTGGGCCCTGGGACGGCCAGGCCGATCTCACGCGGCTCTGGCCCAGCCCCGCCTCCGGTCCTGCCTCGGCCTCTCCTCCTTCATCCGGCAGCTATCTCAGCTCTCTCATCCGGCAGCTCTCTCTCTCTCTCTCTCAAGCGGCCACTCGACAGAACGAGCAGGGCTTCAGAATAACCTAACACTGAGCTAGTAGTGTTGTGAGGTTTTAAAGCCCAGGACTGGAGGCAACGCCCCTGTTGCTGTGGAAACAGAGGTGGAGTTAGGGCAGTGCTCAGTGTATTGTTGAAGGCTTGTGTTCCTTGGGAGGAAGTGAGTTTTTGCATGTTGTCAGTTGCTGTGCATGCTAGATCTCTATTGGGGCTTATAGATGTCCCACCAAGATTACCAGTATGTGACACCACCAGGGGAGACGGCCCTGACCAGCACAGCTTCTGAAATGCATGCACGGCAACGCACAGAACCATGCTTCTGAGGCACAACCACAGCAAAGAAATGCTGGGAACGTGTCTGTGGTCCCAGAAGATGCGGAGAGCAGTGTCTCCGCACACTGCAGCTGCCAGGTGAGGGACAGAGTGAGTGGTGCAGAAGTGAGTGACGCCCCCGTACACCATGACAAAGCCTTCAATTATCTATAAGTATCTATTTTTAGAATGCCATTACTAAACGTTTCTAAGGTGCATTTGTTGTCATTGTAAAGATAAGGGTGAAGGTCCTCTTTAACAGATCCTGCCATCACTGCTGGTCTGCCACCCTTATCATGTCCTGTCACAATTGCCAGCTCCTTCCACCGCTTCTGGCTGGCTGGCCACCATTACCAACTCCCTCCTCCCCTCCTGGCCTGCCCGCCAGTATTACCATCTCCTGCCACCAGTACCATCTGCTGCCACTGCCGCTGGCCTGCCAGTATTACCGTCTGCTGCCACTGCTGCCTGCCCACCACTATTACTACCTTCTACCACCACTTCTGGCCTGACCGAACACACCGATCAAACCCTGGAACACTACCATAGGTGTTTTTTTGTCAGTGACACGGTTTCCCTACTTCCAATAGCTGATTTTGCATATAACAACGCTTCACATTCTACTACCTCGCAGCCCTGTTCTATTCCACCCTGCTACACTGCCCATCTGCTCCCCTCAATTGTCCTACCGATGTAGAGGATTGACTTACTATTCTGCCGCCTGTTGAAGTAGCAAGCTGGAGAAAAAGTCTAGGATGCAGGTAACAGAGGACTTAGAAACTAGGAGTCTGTGTGTTATCAGGGACGCACTAGAGGCACAGAATCTAAGAAGGGCCACAGAGCCTCTAATGGCGAGGATGATTGGTTGCTGGACACCTTCCAGGTTGTGGCCTTCTAGCGCACCCGCACAGACTCAGAAAACTGGTTGCAGCACCTGGGCTCTGGACACAAAGGCAGATGGGTGAAGCCTGTACACAAACAGCAGTACAGAGTACAGAGTACAGAGGGACACAAGGGCAGGAGTCCAACAACAGTGAGAAGGGAACACAAGGAGACAGAGAGACAGCACAACACAGCTATCCGAAGATTACAGAGGAGCGAGGCTGAAAGGACAAACAGGAAGACAAACTCACAGGTAAGCAGGGAGCACAAGGGAATCACAGAAGACACAGGAAACAAAGCAGGTAAATAGCAATCCGCAGGGATCCAAGACAAAAACAAACAGTACAGGGGGGGGTCCAACCTAGTGAAATGACACATTGCTCAAACATTGAGCAACAGGTGTGCTGAACATTTAACACAGAGGTTCAGCACGGATTGACAAGAAGCCAAGCACCTAGGACAAGAGGCAAAACCAGGCACTGGAGGCAAAACCAGGCATAGGGAAGTGTGACAGCTAAAAGTGATGCTAAAAAAAAGGATGAAGGAAGAACCTGCCTTCAAGCCAGGTGATCTGGTTTGGCACTCCACCCCTAATTTGAAGCTATGCTGTACTTTAAAAAAGCTAGTATTGGCCCATTTCCTAACCTGGAAGTAAGCAATCCTGTAGCAGTTAAGCTCACATTTACAGCCTCACTTGGGATTCACCTGGTTTTTGATGTGTTTTGTGTAAAACCAATATCCCTGGGCCCAGGGCCGGACTGGGACTAAAAATAGGCCCGGGCATTTTAGACTGAGCAGCCCAATCACGTGACCACCAACAGGCCCCACCCCTCACAACAGGGGGCGGAGCCAAACACAGAAGCGCAATCCAGTGGCAGGGCCGGCCACTAGTAAGTACCGGAGGGCTACAGCTGACACACAAGCCTTGCTACAACCAATACACAAACCTTGCAACAATGTAGGAAGCTTGCTATAGAGAATATCTGTAAAAAATAAGTCAAGGCAACTGGACTTTCTGTATTTTACTTGAAGACATTTCACTAGTCATCCAACCAGCTTTCTCATATCAGAAATTTCTGAATTGAGAAATCTGGTTGTATGACCAGTGAAACGTCTTCAAGAAAAATACAGAAAGTCCAGTTGCCTTGACTTATTACCTTGTGCCCTCACTTCGGGACCCGCTCTTTCTCTGTCAATGGTAGCCCTGCAGTCTTATTCCTAGCCTATGGCAGCTGAAGTGGACGGAGGAAGTTGCAGGTGGCCACCGAGGAGCCCGACTATTTCAGAAAGGCAGCCGGTGTTCTGTCAAACTCCAAATCCTCATGATCTCCAACGACCCGACTTACTTAGAAGTAAGAGGTTCGGCCAAGAAGGCTCTACAGCACGTGGGCCACCCGCGGCACTTCCCTATACACATACTACAGAGCAATAAAGTATTAAAATGAACTAGAGTCAGACTAATCCAACGTTATTAATCTGTAGCTATATCCAGCTTAAAGGAGAACTATGAGGTGAGTGCTTTTCACTCCCCTCATAGTTCTAGCCGACCTGTGACACTGAGACTGTCACAGGTCGGCTCAGTAGATCGGGAGGTGAGCGAACACATACCGGTGTTCGCTTACTTCTCGATCCTGTCACGGTTCTCTGCCATGACAGAGGAGGGGCTGGATTCCCCCCTCCGATTTGCCAGCGCTGACTGGCGGAACCGACGGGGGAGGGGGCGGGTACAGCTGGCTCTGCCTCTAGATAGGCAGAGCCAGCTGTCAACAGCCTAATGTTCGGCCCGCCCCGGCCCCTATGCCGAAGCTGCTAGCCGCCGAAGGGTGCAGGGGAAGGGAGATGCCTGGAAATTGCCCGGTGTGGCCGATGGCCAGTCCGGCCCTGGCGGCTGCCAATGTAACTAAACTATTCGCACTGACCGCCAGTGTAACGAAAGTGTTCACAATGACCGCCAATAACAAACGTATACACCAAACACATGTTTACACCTTGTTCTTGCAGTCGTCAGGCATTTTTTTCTTCCTTAGCAGGGGGGGGGGGGGGGGGGACCAGCTCCCTCTAGTGTCTACTGTGTAGTAGTGCCGGCTCTGCTAAGAGCCGGCCATCAGGCATAGCAAACTGGCCGGAACACAATCAGGTTGATTGTGTTCGGGCCGGCCCGGCCCACCGGGCAAGTGCCTGGTTTGCCCTATGGCCAGTCCGGCCCTGCCTGGGCCCCATTCTTGGCAGATCCTCTACTTTGCCTTCTCCTATTCTTGTGGACCTCTGAAGAATTTGAGGTCAAAGCCATCATTGATTGCAGGCATGTTGTAGGTCATCTACAATACCTTATCAAGTGATCGGTGTATATATTTTATACTCCAGAATTTGATCTGAGCATCAGAACTTACTATGAGCATAACAGAGCTCACATTGCAAAGCTACTTTCCATACAACAGGAGATAATCTAGTATGTAGCATGAATATATTGTCTGTTTTAATTAGAATTCTTTGTGCTTTTTTTGCAGTCCAATGTGATGCCACACATGGCAACAGCTACAGTCAATTTCCGTCTCCACCCAGCACAAACAGTTCATGAGGTTAGTGTATTGCTCTGAGATTTCACTCCACTTAAAATGACAAAAGAGAGTAATTAAGAAGATTCTACAAAAACTACTTGTACTGATGCCCCAACACCAGAAAACAGATCACACACACACACACGGCAGCCCCTTACTCAGCTTTAGGCCATCGAGTCTGCCCACTGGCCTTCAGTGCACTTACTTTTATTTTTTATTTTTTTGTATAATCTTTATTTTTCTCGTTTCACAAATAGTCACATTTACACAGGAACATTCAAGGGACTAAAAGGGGTCCAACATAGACCCTGACAGCAAAAGATAAAAATAGAAAAAAAAAAAATAAAGAAAGAAAAAAGTCACAAATATACAATGACATACATAACCACAATGTAACACAATAAGTGGGTATGTCACCCGGCCTCATTGTGTCCCATCTCATAGGCTCGATTTCCAGTGAAGATGGTGATGCCTCCATCACCACTATGAGTGTTAGTTTGTCGTGCATCTACCTATCTCCGAGTATCCAAAGCAGTACATACTGATATCCAGTGTTATTATGCAGTTCGTGAAGTGAAACCCTCCCAGAAGGCCAAGAGTCGGGGGCGACCTGTCAAGCTAGCGCCTGGGTGCCCTCACGGGATCACTCGTCATGGCGGGTGGGATACATAGTGCAGCCATGTTGCCCATTTAGAGTAGAAGCGGTCGTATTTATTGCTGCTCCTCACCACCCATTCCTCTGCCTCCTGGATTTGCGTGACCTGCGCCACCCAGTCAGATCTCCCCGGAACCCTGGTTTGCTTCCAGTATCTGGGGACGAGTCTCCGTGCCGCATCCAAAAGATGGGGCAGGACACTCCTCTTATAGGAGCCAACGGTCGTGGGAGGGAGGTGGAACAGCATATGAACGGGGTCTTCTGGTACATCTATAGTTGTGATAAGTTTAATTTGAGCGTGAATATCTTGCCAGAAGCCACGTACAAGAGGGCACTCCCACCAAATATGTAGGAGACCACCCGGCTGCCCACATCCCCTCCAACATAGCGAGGGTGTCCCCGGGTATATGGCACTCAGGTGGAGCGGAGTACGGTACCAACGGGACAGCAATTTGTAATTAGTTTTGTGCGTCTTGGAGTCTATAGAGGATTTGTGTGTGAAGCGGTATATCAAGCGCAATTGGTCATCGGTGAGATTCCGTCCCAGCTCACCGATGACCAATGCCCCTAGGAACCTCGGTCTGTCTCCTGTGAGCGTGGACAAAAGCAGACCATAAAAGAATGAGACTGGTCGATCTGGGGATGTAGATCCCGCACATAGGGCCTCAAAGGGTGTGAGGGAGGACATGGGCCTTATACCCTTGGCAGTCGTGCCAAAGAAATGGGTAAGTTGTCTATATCTCCAGTCTGCCAAGGGGAAATCTCCATATTTGGTTTTGATCTCCTCCAGAGACATCAGAGAACTCCGGCTGAGGAGTTTGACAGTGGAAGTCTCCCTGCAGGTCCCATCTGCGGAAAAAGGAAATATCTTCCCCAGGAGGGAACCATGGATAGCCCCCTAGTGGGGACAGCGGGGGCGAGAGCAGACCCCCAGCATTCAGTCTATCCCACAGCCAGAGTGTCTGATGAGTCAGGGGGGATGTGTGGTCAGAGAGACCACGACTAGCACGAGGTACCCACGGGGCATGAGCTAGATCACGCCCGCCATGCCTTTTTCCATCTGCACCCAGAGCTTAGTGGAAGCGTCAAAATGCCAGTTCACAATCCTCTGGAGAGAGATGGCTTTATAGTATAGGCTAACATCAGGTAGGCCTAGTCCCCCGGCCCCCTTGGGCCTGCGCAGGATGGTATATGCTATTCGGGGTCTCTTGCCCCCCCAAACAAAGCGGAGAAACAGACTACGAAGTTTTGCAAAGTAAGTTTGAGGTAAAGATATAGGTATAATTTGGAGGTAGAAGAGGACCCTAGGGAGCACCGTCATCTTCAGTATGTTAATGCGACCCAGCCACGTGAACGATGTACGATCCCAATCCTGGAGATCTCTCTGGAGGTTGTGTAGTAAGGGCTCAAAGTTGTGCGTATACAGGCGGGAGCAGTGGTTGGTCAATTGAATTCCCAGATATCTTATGGCTGTCGTGGACCAGGAGAACGGGAAGCTGTGTCTCAACTGGTGAGCCATTGCTGACGGGACTGTGATGGGCAGAATTTCAGACTTATGGTAGTTAATTTTGAGGTTGGATAGCTGTCCATAATGGGCGAACTCCGAGACCAAGTTAGGGAGTGAGGTGACGGGATCCGTAACATAAAAAAGGATGTCGTCTGCATAAGCAGATAATTTATGTTCCTGGGAGCCAATCGTCAGACCTTTAATATCTGGATTGTTGCGGACCTTATTCAGGAAGGGTTCCAGGGTCAGCGCGAACAGGAGCGGGGACAGAGGACATCCCTGCCTGGTGCCATTTCCAATCCTGAAGGGGTCAGCCAGTTCACAATCCTCTGGAGAGAGATGGCTTTATAATATAGGTTAACATCAGGTAGGCCTAGTCCCCCGGCCTCCTTGGGCCTGCGCAGGATGGTATATGCTATTCGGGGTCTCTTAACCCCCCAAACAAAGCGGAGAAACAGACTACGAAGTTTTGCAAAGTAAGTTTGAGGTAAGGATATAGGTATCATTTGGAGGTAGAAGAGGACCCTAGGGAGCACCGTCATCTTCAGTATGTTAATGCGACCCAGCCACGTGAACGATGTACGATCCCAATCCTGGAGATCTCTCTGGAGGTTGTGTAGTAAGGGCTCAAAGTTGTGCGTATACAGGCGGGAGCAGTGGTTGGTCAATTGAATTCCAAGATATCTTATGGCTGTCGTGGACCAGGAGAACGGGAAGCTGTGTCTCAACTGGTGAGCCATTGCTGACGGGACTGTGATGGGCAGAATTTCAGACTTATGGTAGTTAATTTTGAGGTTGGATAGCTGTCCATAATGGGCGAACTCCGAGACCAAGTTAGGGAGTGAGGTGACGGGATCCGTAACATAAAAAAGGATGTTGTCTGCATAAGCAAATAATTTATGTTCCTGGGAGCCAATCGTCAGGCCTTTAATATCGGGATTGTTGCGGACCTTATTCAGGAAGGGTTCCAGGGCCAGCGCGAACAGGAGTGGGGACAGAGCACATCCCCGCCTGGTGCCATTTCCAATCCTGAAGGGGTCTGAAAGGGCACCATTCACCTTCATGCGGGCTGATGGGTCACTGTATAGAGAGGCCACCCAGCATCTGGGGGCCAAGCCCCAGGGTCTCCAGCACTTCTGTATAGAGAGGCCACCCAGCATCTGGGGGCCAAGCCCCAGAGTCTCCAGCACCGTCCTCAAAAACTTCCAATCCACCCTATCAAATGCTTTCTCAGCGTCAGTGGACAGGAGGAGGAAAGGAGGATGAGCGGCACGGTGGGTAGCCCAGTGAACCGCTTGGTTCGCTCGAAGGGAGCTGTCCCTGGTCTCCCTCCCCAGTATAAAACCGGTCTGGTCTGGGTGAATAACAGCGGGTAGGAAGACCTTCAGGGATTTTTTAGCAGATAGTGCCTCTGAGGGTACAGTAGGGTGTATGTCATATAGTGTGGCATAGTAGTCCCTGAAGGCTGCCGCTATCTTAAAGGAGTTATAAACCGAGGGGGTTTGAAGTTTATGGACGTGAGTCAGCTCTCGCCTCTTCCTCAACGCCCTAGCTAGCAGGCGCCCCCATTTATTCCCTTGCTCATAATACAGGTGAGAGACATAGTGTAGCTTCTTTTTGATTTGGAGGTCTAAGAAGTCTGTTAGATTTTTACGGAGGGTGACCAATTCCTGGGCATCTTGGGGGAGACCTGTGCGCTGGGGCGTTGCTCTGCCCCCCGGATCGAAGCTATCAATCGCTCAAGCTCAGCCTTCCTAGCCCTGTTCAGTCTCGAGCCCTGTGAAATCAGCACTCTACAAACCACCGCCTTGTGCCCTTCCCATACTGAGCTCACCGAGGTTTCCCCCACTGTGTTTTCTAAAAAGTAAAGGCGCAGCGTCTCTGAGGTCACACCTGCCGCCTCTGGGTCATCAAGCAGGTTCTCATTGAGGCGCCAGGTCCGTGAAGTGCTGGGGACCCGGGGCAGCGAAACCGAGAGAGAGACAGAGGCGTGATCGGATATAGTAATGGGGTTAATGGTCGCCTCACACAAGGCATCTAGGTAGTATTGATCGATAAACAGCATATCTATCCGGGAATAAGAGTCGTGGGTCTTAGAGTAGTAGCTGTAGTCTCTATCTGATGCATGAGTCACCCTCCAGGTGTCTAGTAAGTGCTTATTATAGAAGGCTTTGCGGAAATGTCGCTGAGCCGCCAAGGAGTGTGTGGACGTGCCCGAGGACGTGTCCAGTGCTGGATTAGGACTGAAATTAAAGTCCCCTCCCAGCACAAGTAGGCCCTCCTGGAAGTCCGTCAGTTTGACTAGCAAAGAGTCCAGGAACGTTAGCTGACGAGTATTGGGAGCATATGCCGTGGCAAATGTAAAAATCTGGCCCTCAATGGACCCCTTCAAAAACACGAACCGGCCATTAGGGTCCGTCACTTGGTCAAGGAATTGGAAGGGGCACCTCTTATGGACAACTATCGCGACCCCGCAGGATTTGGGTATAGGGGAATTACTGAGATACCAACCAGAGTACATATGTGTAGGCAGCTTGGGTACAGCATTATCACGAAAATGAGTTTCCTGCAACATTACTACCAGGTGCCTCAGTTCCCTCCACAGTCTGTTCCGCTTGTTCGGAGAGCAGAGACCCCGCACATTATACGATAATATCTTCAACACAGACATGGTATCGTTAGAGTATCCCAAGGAGAAGGTCGGATGCCACCGAGCCTGGAACATATTACGAGCCTAGATAGGACATACACAAACAAGGTAAGTGCACAGAACATAGGGAAAAGTAAATCAATACAAAACCAATACAAAAACAAACAAAAAAGGTGATAACATTGGGCAATAAGGCCAACTAGTAATGC